GCAGTCTAATTGGGAACTCCTAATTCAGTCTTTCTAGGAGAAGAACATTAGGGGGAAAAAACCCTAAGCTCAGTGTTGGGGTAGACTAAAGAGAGGAGTAAAAAATATGAATGCTGTGAGGGGCTTTGTTTTCTGGAAAAAGCGAATACAAGAAGAAAAATGCTTTATATAACAGGAATCTTTTAAGGAAAATAATAATTTCCAAGTATCAAGGGAATACTCTTACAGTGCCGGAGAGGGTAGAAATAGGAAAAGGGGTATGTCACAGCACAAAGGAAAACAAATCAGAAATACAAATATTCATGCATATGATTAATTGGATTTTTGTACGCTTGTGGCTACACACACAGAACTAATTTTCAGTAGAGTTCTGGAATGTAGATATTTGAAATGATAATATGCCAATGCTTTTTTTTTCCAACTCTTCTTACAGCCAAGTCTTTGGGAGCTTATACGTTTCGGAGTCAAAATGGTAATCAGGTTTCTGGCTAGTAGCTGATAGCCGTGTATTGATACTAGAGCTGTTAAAAACCTTCTACTTTCATAGTAGTTCTGAACTTTTATGAATGCCAGTTGTCTTAAAGGACTTTGTGAAGCAGCCTGAAATGATTGTTGACTTCCAGGAGTCACCCATTGAATTGCTGCTTACATATGGGATAGCCAGGTGTGAAATCCTGTGCTCACATGTGTTGGCCAGAAGAGTTTAAAAGGTGAGTCTTAGAGCGCCAGTGGTACCTGGGGAGAGGAGAAAGCGGAGGAAGGTGTAGCCCTAGCAGATGATGCATTGACATGTGATCCTGCATTTAATACTACTCTATAACTTCTTTAATTTCAGTTTTGTATCCTGACTGAACCTTCATGGAGATGTATTTCCATAGCACATTATTGCAAAGTGCATAACATCTTCAAAATTCATTGACTTTAATAGAGTTAGAGGATACTCGGCACCTCCTATAACTGGCTCTTAAATTTGCCTTCTCCTATGTGATTAATCTGTCTAATCATACTTAATATCTACCTGTAGATGGTGGCAGTATGAATGTCCTCTTGGTTTTTATGTGGCCATGAGGAGGAGGGAAAAGAAAAGTAGAGAGATACTTCCAGAAATTACAGTCATTTGTAGGTACTGAAATAATGGCACACACGTTTTAGTTCTGTTCTGTCTGAGTAACTCAGTAAATTGTGTATTGATTATGCTAATACAGCTAGTGTCTCTATTACTTGTCTGCAGAAATTATTCAAACATGTAGATTGAAGATGCACTTGGCAAAGTTACCATCCTAAGAAAAAGGCTTTTGTGGAAAGATGGCTTTAAATTGAATTACTAATCATATGCTGATGGAAATTTATAGATTAAGTATTGAATTATAAAAAATGCAAAGTGCAAGTTAGAAATATATATTCTAAACTTATCCGAACAGTCTTAATTGCTTTGTTAGGTTTATTTTCACATCTCTCAAAGAATATGTTTTAGGAAGGGGTAAATCAATAGCAATCTGTTTTTATCGTTTATTTTGGGATATGTGGCTTCTCCTGCTTTGTTTAACAAGCTGAAAAGAGGCCCCGGCATTTGGGGCAGTTCTTTTTTTTTGTTTGTTTTTAAAAATTTATTAATCCACCTAGACTAGAAGAAAATAGACTTTTTCAATTATCTTTTGCTTTTATTTTATTATCGTTTGTAATAGCTCAGAAGCCATAAATCTTAGCCAGAGTTCTCCAAAAGGCTTCCCTTTCAGTGAAAATGTCCTTTTTCACATTTCTAATTTTATCCATTTCTTTTCCATACAAGATTTTTCCCAGGCATCAATCAGAAATGACTTGTCCTCTTCCTTAGGGTGCTAAATCTACAGCTTAACTCTTCAGTGAAGGGGAGTCCTGGTTACTCAGTAGAATATGAATGAGATTTTGCAACCTAGGAAATCTGTGTATATTTTGTACTAACTTTTTAAAATAGTCTCCCTCCTTTATAGGCTCACCATGTGTCTCATGAAGAGTCTCTAAGCAAAAGGGGTGAAATCCTCATGAAATCCTCGTGAAATCTACAGCAGGTGTTGCTGTAGAGCGGTCAGGAGATTAATTCTAATTTTGGGACCTCTATATCAGAGTTCCCACAGGTTTTCCTCATTGGCTGTCCTTGATGGTGCTACTTGATTTGTTAGTTGTTTTGGGTTTTTTTTTTTTTTTTGTTTTGTTTTGTTTTTTTCCTTTAAAAAGGAATAGTTGGTCTTAATGTTGACATTCAGCAGCCTAAGCGTAAGAAGTGCTCTGAACTGAAACCAGGGTTTGCCTTGGACACTGGCTGTACCAAAGCTGAAACATCCTAACCTTTCACATAGATACAGTTTCAGTTTAGAGAAATGGTTTTTGCAGTAAAATTTTAAAAACTGGTATCTATCCAACCCACAAGCTTTTATAATGGGAGATAGAATTGACATGCTGGAATTCTGTTTTCTGAGATTTTTTTTTTTTTAAAGTTGCTCTCAAGAGCAACTGTGGTGCCAGATTTCTTGTGGTGATCTGGTCTTTTTTTTTTAAATTTTATTTTTCGGGGTTCCCATTTGTTCTGATTTTCAAAAGTTGCACTGAGAAAATATGTAGTAGGGACTTGATGGTTTGTTGTTGTAAGGAACAGATAAGTCAGTTGAGAAGAATTTCTACAGCTAACAAAACAGGTGACCTGTGGTCATAAACACATAATTGTAGGGACAAGGAATATTGTTGCTTTTGTGATGACATTATTTCAAATTTATCTAGAAATGCTGTTCAGCAGTAACATCACTCATTCGTAGCCTGGATTCATAAGCTATTGCTCTGGTTTCCTAAGGCCTCTCCTTTTACTAGTATGCTATGATTTTGTTATCTAGAGTTTATCTTCCCTTATGCTAGGATGTGGTGATACTGTAATGAGGAGGACATACCTGTGTGCAATTACACTCCTAGAGTATTGTAATTTTGATGTTTGAACTAATAATAGTGCATACATTCTACTGTTTTATCTGCATATCATCCTTGTGGCTTTTTTTAGTTATGTTTCATGCTAGTGCTAGAGGAATATTTTTGGTTAGCAAAATCTAAAGCATCTCTCTATATAGGTTCTGTTTAAAGTTGCCTTCCTTCCCTGAAAAATAAATGTATAGTTAATGTTTAAGGGAAGTTAATGTTGGCTGCATGTCATGCTACCTTTCATAGTCAGGTGAGTTTAACAGTGGCCTGGGAGCTTCAATAGCACTGAAGTTTTCAGAATCTGGGTGTGGAAAAGCATAAAGTGCTAATCAAGAGCTTATCTGAGGGTACCAGCTGTGTAGCTGACTTGATGTAACAAATACCATGCTAGTTGGAAGAATGATCTAACTTAATGCAAAGGAAAATGAGATGCTGTTTTGTAGATGATTTGTGCTAATGCTAAGATTTCCCTAATTGTGTGGGTTTTGTGGGGCAGTTTTCTTGTTCCTTTTACCATATTTCCCTCTAAATGTGGTTTTAATTTTCCTGACAAATACATCAGTCTAGTTGGATATTTTTAGCAAGTCTTTGTGCCATGTTGTGACCTACTTGGTTCTGTTGTGACTGAGAATCCTTAAAGGGCTTGAACAATGGTTTAGAAAGATGCTAACCACAAAGTTACCTGCTCTGATGCTTGCTTCCTTTTTTTAGTATAATAAAGACATAGTGGTCAACCTTTATTGAAAGCAAACCCCAGCTCTCAGAATTTTCAGATCCCTAAATAGCAGAGGATTTTTAAACGTTTGGTTTCAGAAGGCATACACTGTCATGTTTTCAATTACAAAATTGTATACCTGGAAACAATTTGTTAGGCAGTATCCATGTATGTTGGGTTGGGTTTTTTTAAAGTTTGGTGTACCTCTCAGTCAGCAGTGCAAAGCTGAGCACATTTCGGTGTGCAGTCACTTCTCACTAGCAGTGAGAAATTCTGGAACTGCAGCTGGTGGCAGTAGACATACAATACAGAACAGCAGAAAAGAGGAACTCTTGCATTGTAGTTTGCATACACTTAGAAGTGGAGATCTGCTTCAAGCAAGCAGATCTTGTTTACTTCTTAGCAGGCAGCTGCTTTATTTTGAAGTTTCCTGCTTGGGAATCTGTTCTTGAAAATGTCATGTTTGGGCACCTCACTTCCATCTTGAGACTTAAAAAAATGGTAGAGTTTTTAAATTGCCTTTCTGGACCAAGTTATGACATGTATCATGGTTGAGGATTTCATTGGTAGATAATCAATAACGTCTACAACCGTTAATAAGGTTGATCGATAGGTACAGGTGACTAAGATGAGTTTCCTCTTGAGGGATGGAAAAGTGGACTCAGTTTTCAGTTTTAGAGTTTGTTCTTGAGATAACTTTTTGGAAACAGATCAACAGCCATTGTTGGGCATAACCAGTGTCAAGTTGGGCTGCTGCAGAGGTTTCACTGGGGGCTTTGAGGGGGTCACAAAAGGTGGTATCTTTCCCCCCCGCAATTGTATATTAGTTGTATTCACTATTTTTCTTGCTGTATTAATGAGTCTTACTGATCTGTGCTGCCCTACTGAGAAATCTTTATATTTAGCTTAGTTTGTGTTTGACCACGTGTTCCCTGAAGCTCAGCTTTTGATGAGCTTTTCCCATTGCTTTCTTTGTCTGACCGGTTTCCTTTGGCTGTGAGGACTGCTGGGGTGACTGCTTCTGCATAACAAAGAAAATCATACAGTATTATCACAGCTGAAGTGCTGGTAACTTCACGGCTGCAAAATACAAGTTCAGCTGAAACAGTCAGCTCGTAAAATCGTATTTTGTGAAATACTTGACTTACTCTAGGGCTCGTGAAACTTTATCAGATCTCTGTTGATGAGAAGAGAGTACTTAGTAGCCACAGCTCTGGGAAAGAGATAGAGATTGTTTAGAGTCCTCTAGAGACTGTACTTGACTCTTTCTAATATATGCACTGTGTTTCAAGTTTCTGGTGTCCTAAGAGTGTCCTTATGACAACTGGTGTTTTTTTTCTAGAAACTCAGATTCTAGAAACAACCAGTTGTATGAAGCCTTGGGGTTGGCGGAGGAGGAAAAGAGGTACCTGTGGAGTGTGTATATGTATCTCTTCTTTTGAATATATGTCTAGATTTATATGTGACCCTAATTGTTGCACCCTCTTGTCCCAAGAACCAGGGGAAAAAAAACCCAAATCTTTGTTTTTTAACTCAGTTGCATGATTATTTTTGAGGTCTGAATTCTTGGGAGTGGAAGTGCTGTGAAAGTGCAGTCTTTCCCCTTTCAGCTTTTTCCCCTGTGGAGGGAGAATGAATTCTTTTCTCTCCGCTGTTCTCTAACTCAAAGAACTCGGTCTTTGGGAGAATAAAAAGGAAATGGTTCTGCCTTTTAGCTCTTCCCTTACTTTTACTTTGGGAGAGTCAATCTTACTTAGGCATCATATCAGAGCATATGAGAACAGCTCTCTCTTAATTTTTTGAAGTAGCAGCAGAATGGCTCTTGTTAGGTTCACTCTCGCCCAAGTTTTGAATAGTGAATCTGACAAGAATTATATTGTTTTTAGTTCTACTACCCTGGAAAGCTGTGAGCCAAGGGAAAGATGCTGGCATGGTGTATACAGTAAAACAGCATGGGGTTAGTTCTCCTTTGCAAGGCTGTCTGCACTGCTGAGATGTTTGCTACTGAATATAGGGTTATTATTTTTTTTTTCAAGCTTATGTATGAATTAGCACACATACCTCTCCCATCTGCCAGGAGAAGGTTTTCTCTTAACTGTCTGGAGCAAGTAGAATCTTAAAGCCCAGAATTATTTTCTCATTTAGTTCCATAATCAAATACAGTAAAGTGCATTGAAGACAAATATCCCAGAGGAAATCTGTTCCATTTTTTAAGCTATGAACCTGATTTGGTCCCTCTGTTCTCAGATTTGTAGCTTCCATACAGCAACATATTCTGTTTTGGTGTGGTCTACACTTTTGCACTTTGCAGTGCAGCTTTTCTTGCCCGTGTTGTACAAGCATTACTGGCTTTCAGAACTGAAGCTGGTGTAAAGATGCTTGGGACACTTCAGCTACCTACCTAACATATTTTTTTGTTTTGTTTTTGTTTTGTTTACCTTTTTCTGACAGTAGAAGAAAATGAAACAGAGGACCAGCAGGCAGGTGTGGGACACACAGCCGCACAGACTGGTAATGCTGAATTCCTTCATTAGTGCTTGCTTGCCGTTTGACAACAGTGTGAGGGCCTTTGTATCGGGGTGTTTTTGCACAGCCTGTGCTCTTCCTTCTCTGTTTCAGATTAGAATGCATTCTTGGGTCTCGCAATGGAAAATAATATTGGTCTCCCCTCACCTTTCAGTTCCTGAGAATTAGAAATTCTGCCTTTTGTAGGTCAGGCAGCTGAAAGTAAGATGCTTCTGAAGTGCAGCATGCTTTTCTTTTTTTCTTTTTCTTTTTTTTTTTTTTTTTGTTAACAGTAATCCTTCTCTACATCCCCCACATAAAACCTCACCCTATGCCATTTCACATGAGCTTGAATATTCATTTCACTTAAACTGTTTTCATATTTGTAAAGTATGTGGATAAGGGTAATTTTAGGATTGTTTGTGTAATTTCTTACCAGGCAGAGATTAATTTAGGGTTCCTTAATTTTAAGTCAGTGAGACTGCATAGGCAAATCTGTTGTTTGAGTCAGGATCACAGGGATATGTGTTGTTGATAATAATGAAGAAATAATTGTTAATTCCCAATAACAATAAGGGCTCTTTTATTCTCTAATATGGTTCTGAGAATGCAAAAAAATACTTTGCTTCTGTCTTTGGTACTGATTCCACAGAATATTATCTATAGAGTAGGACTGTCTCATCTGAATAGTCTCATTCATTCAGCTGAAGTCACCTTTGGAGTGAGGGCTGACTCCTTAAGGATATTACTAGAAGACTAGTCATCTCTGAATATGTGTAGGTAATTAGTTTGAAAACAGTTGGAGTTATTCCTCTTATGAAGGTGAAGAATGCAGTTGTTTTTTTTTTTCTTCAGCTAGAGGACTTTATATTTCTCTTGTATGTGTGTCCTATGGGCTTGTGTTTGGTGCCTCTTATAGGTTCTAATGACTCTGTTCATAAACTACATTGTTTGAAAAGAGGAAATAAAAGTGATGGACTTCTCTAATTTTTTAATGGGAAATTTCTCAAACTCTTCTGAATGTACTTATGTCTCCATTTAGCTATCTGCAAACTTGGAAAAAAGCTAACTTGTACTGCTGTAGACACATGAAGTTGAAAAATAGAGGACTGCAAAACTGGAAGTCAGTATGACAAGGAATGATTGCTTTTCTGCATTTGTTCTTAAAATAATTCTCAATGGTTAAGTTGTCTTGGTAGTTATGTATTTCCCATCATGTCCTGTGTTGTTCTCCATCTGTTTCTAGGCAAGATTTAACATTCTGTTTTTCTCTATAGCAAGAATGCAGTGCTGATATTAAAAACAAAAAACCTTCTGATAGAGCAAGCAGTACAGAAGGCCCACACTGTGTACACACTGCCAGAAGTTTTTATAGTAATACTTTGTATCTAAGCTCTGGCTCTAACCATTAAATGTGCTTTTTATAGAGTACCAAGTTATAAATGTAGTGCAGCTACGGCATATTAATCTTACTGCAGAGATTTAATGAGGCAGTTGTTTTGCGATGGACACTATTGGGAGCAGAGAGCGACAGAGTTTTACTTTACCACTGAGCTGAAGAAATATTCCTTGCCTGGTAATAATTATAACCACATGATCTAAGTTTTCCTTTCTTTTGCCAGCACTTTTCCATGCAGAAGTGGCTTGGAAGGAGGTCTACTGCAAGGCAGTGAAATGGATTGGAAAGGAGGCTGCTTTCTTGGTAGTTTGATGTTTTAGTTGTGATTAGCTACGAATCCTTGTAGCACAGGCAGAAGTATGTAAGTTTATTTTCAAGTACACATATAGTCTTTGCCAGTCTACTGAGATGACTTTTAGATATTCATTGCTTTTACTTGACTTTTATATGGGTTATAAAAAGTAAATGTGGTGAAACCTCATTTTTACATGGGCAGAACAGAATTTCTGCTGGTTGGCCTTAAACCGCTCCCATACTTGAAATTAATTGAAGTCCATGGCTTTATTGCCTCCAACACTTTTAAGCCAATGCAATTTTTCATTTTCCCCAAAGTTGCAGTTTTATTAGACCAAGTTACAGCAATAACATCCCTTATGAGGAGGAGGAAGAAGGGAAGGGGAAAACCACCTGCCAGGGAACATAGTAATGAGAAAATCATGTTTCTTTTAATTTCCATTTATAAATAATGTTAGCGTAATCAGTAACAGAAGACAACTGTTCTTTCTCTTCTTTGTTGTGTTTTTTTTTTTTTTTTAAGTGCCTTAGTAGGCTGAACTTAATTCTACTTCAAAAAAGTAACCCTCCTTTCCATACTAGATAATTTTCAATGATATCTGTAGATGGAGTTGATGGGTGTATTGTTGCTGATATGTATTGAAAAATTTCAGTTGGTGCACAGCAGCCTCTGAAATAGGGCAGGAAAGGCTCTGGAAATGACAGTGGCATTTACAGATGTTGGGAAAAGTAATCTTACTATGAAGAGTATCTTTGTTGAGGGAGCTGTGACTCTGGTTGTTGCAGGTATTGGGGAGAAACAAATGTGGAAGATCAATGACATTTGCCCTGAAGTCTGTGTGCGAGCTTGAGCTTTGAACAGGAGGTTTCGGAGAAAGTATAGATGAATGCATATTGCATTTATAAAATATGTTTTATTCTAGTCTTTCAAAAGAGCAGCTCAAATAAGGCAGTTTATCCTCAGTTTAAGTAACTATTTAAGGTTAGACCAGCTCTTGACAGAAGATATTTGTTGTAACAGAAAAGCTATTTATTCACAAAGCGTCCCAATGATATTTTCTCTCTTTAAATATCTTTTTATTTTGATGGTGACATCTCTTCATGGAAGCGAATCACAGTGGAAATGCATTCATTGAGAGGGGCTGAGACTGCCAGAACTCATTTCACAAAGCTGTCGTAGGCTAAACTCAAACCTAGGTCCCAGAGGGTCCCACTTAAGTGTTGACCTAAAAACAAATGTGCCAGTTGGCTAGAGCATGTATTCTAAAGTTGCAGCAGAAGGGAATAAGCTTGACTGACTTCTGTCCCTGTAGAGTTTATATCTGCAAATGCAGAAGGAGAAGCAAAACATTTATTAGTCTTAAAATGATTCTAATTTTAATAACTGGTCTCTAAGTAGGAAGCTTTAAATTGAGCGATTCTTTAGACTTTTTGTGCACTAAGGGGTGCATGTGTGCCTACGTGTGTGTGTATTGCTGAAAAGTGCAAGTCTTTTGGAATAATAAGTCTTGAGAATTCCCTCCCCTCCCTTTTCTTTTCCTCAGCATTGTACTTAAGGCAGAGTCAGACACTACCCTTATTTTAACACAAACAGGTCTGTAAACTTTATGTGCAGCATTTAAATACTCATGTTAAAATTCAAACCCAGTGCCCACGTTTCCCTGAGTGCTGTCAGGTTTATGTGATGAAACTGGGAGCTTCAGCTGAACAACTAGTAGTATGCGATGTGCATGTGCTGCCTTCCAACAAGTGTTTAATGATGTTGGGGTCAGTTTGCAACAGTTAAGACAATTATTTCTTTTTCTGAACTGCTTATAACCTGGTGATCTCCTAATTACTTTTATTAATCTTGCAAAATAACTTGGAAAATGAAGTGACAATGGAAGTTAATAGATCCAGAGCATTCAACAATGGCTAAAGTGCCGTGAAGTCCTTTTATTTAATTAGCATCCCTTTTTCGTGTGTGAATTTGGAGACTACTCCTCTGTTTGGAAGTAGCTGCCCAAGTATAAGTTTTCATTCTTAAAAAACCTTATGAATGTAATTTGTCATATAGTGATTGCACTCAGTGTATAGGCAGGGCTTTTGCACAGCAAATATATTTTTGCCTTCAAAATGTGTTTATTATTTTTAAAAATTAATCTGATTTCCCTCTGTAATATAATTCTCTTCAAAATAAATTCTGCCCTTTATCCCTGTCAAAGAAATTCCTTGGTTTTGATCACGAACCACACAGCATGAGGAAGACTTCCTGACATGGGTCATTTCCAGTTTCTGCTTGTGGGTCCATCTGTGTTTGAACAGTTGAAGGGCAGGGTGGCAGCAGCGTGGACCAAAGGATATAGAATGATGATGAGAGCCCTGACCTTTGTTGTGGGCAGCAAGAATGCCTGTGCTTTGTGCACAGTGGCAAATACAGAGATGAATGTGCCCATATCACTATAGGGTGCTGAGAGAGGATTTAAGAGTGGTTTAAAGTGGAATCCTCCTCCTCCTCCTCCCTACCCTTTCCCGTTCTAATATGAATTTAGTGTGGGCATGTTTTAGTTTCTCTTAAGTAGTTGTGCACGATACTAATCGATTGCAATGCTAAATAAAGTGAGTTCACAGAGACGACCTCTGTGTTGCTGTGGACAAGAAGCCTACTCCTGGTTAGTCACCCGCTTGGCTAAAGAGCCTGACATCTTAAAATGTACTTGCACAATCTCCTGTTATTATGTGAGTTTGTCCTTGTTTTCTAAAATGACTTGTTTCAGTCTTGGCTCTCTCAAATGTCTAAAAGGAAAGATGGGATGGCCAGTGCAGAAAGGGGAAAAGTGGTAAAACACATTCCCTTTGCTGGAATGTACACAACCATTTTTCTTCTGCATTTCACTTGTTGTACTGTGGTTCCCAAGGAAAAACAAAGTTAAGTGCCAACTTGCTTTATTAGGGAAGACAGATTGTTTTATTTCTGTCTTTTGAAGGAAGCTTTTAGTAAAGTGGGCAAAAAGTCAGAAGTAGTTAAAGCTCCTCTGCTACTCCTCAGAGGAGGAAAAGTTCTAGACTTTGCATTATCTCACTCTGCGCTGGTCATCTGCAGAACCAAGGTAGCACAGCAAGCTGTGTGGCTTCTCTGTGCCTAGGGGAAGGTGGTGAGACTACATATTTCTTCTAGTTTAGAAGCTTCAGCTGGGCTGAGGGCTGCTGCTCTGAGGCTAGAGCTATCCTCCTATCCCCAAAATGCTTGTTAACATGTCAAACAGACAAAGCTCTCCTTGTGCATTCTTTAGGTTTTACAATAGTTAGTTTCCAGTTTTTCATGATCTGGCAAATGCAGGAACTGTATCAGGTTTGTCTTAAGTCATACCCAAGTTCAAAGCATGTGTAGGATTTTGACCCAGGGTATAATCTTTCCAGGGCTTTGTGTCAAATAGCGTGGTGATGGAGTATTGGAGTGGATTGCAAAATCAAGATTAATTTAGTGTTTATGTAAATCAAATTTGTTAGTCTCTTAATTCTGGTAATTTCCTGTGAAATGCTGTAGTTAACAGTGAAAAGAAGTTCCTGCACACTCATTGATTTGATTTTTCTTTTCATTGAAAACTAATTGCATAGGTGGTTTATCCTTTCTTACAATGATCAAAGCAGCTTCAATAGCTGTGATAAAATTGCCAAACCTAACATTGAAGCATGGAAGAACTGCTTGAATGAGAAATGTAGCTGCATTTGTGGGAGTAGAAGGGAAATTCTCCTTCCATTGAGATTAGAAAAAAATTAAGGAAAAAGCCTCCTTGGCTTATTTAGCGGTAAAATCTATGGTGTGCTGCAGGCTCGTGCCAAATATATTTCTTATCGTTATCACAAGAACCTATCTTTTTTTTTAATTTTCTTTTTTAAAGTTTCTCTTCTTAGATGCCTGACGTCATGGTCTTTATTTTCTTTCAGATCCTAACTGTAAACTAGAAGACAAGGCAGAAGATGAAGAAGTGCTAGACTGTAAGAAAAGGCCAGATGAAGGGGAGGAGTTAGAAGAAGAAGCTGTGCACAGCTGTGACAGCTGCCTCCAGGTGTTTGAGTCACTGAGTGATATCACAGAACACAAGATTAATCAATGTCAACTGACAGGTAAACAATACTTATCACTTTGTGGCTTCTTGCACTGTTCTATTTCTGATTCTCATCCTCTGCTTCTGATCTCCCTCCTCCTTTCTCAGTTATTTTACTCATGCACATGAATGCTTGGGTGAGACCTTTATAAACAGCTTCTGGGAAAGGATTATACTCTAAATGGGGCACTATAAATTTCCTTCATACTGAAAGATGTATGGCTAATTACTGCATTGTCACTGTATTTAAAGTGTTCATTAGCTGTCTCTGCCTGGCTGCTATGTGTGTTTTCTAGATTCATACTGTACAACTTTCTGTGCTTTGCTTATACACTTATTTTCCTAAGTCACTTGTGAGCACAGAGGATATTTGTAAGTGGGGTTTAAGTGCACCTGCATAATGGATGAGTTTGCACAATGGCATGTTGCAGATCTGGGCTGAATGTTGCATTAGTCTAATCTGTTAACTACAATTGATGATTCAGTAGTCAGTAACTTCAAGTTGAGAGGAGTGAAGCAAATAACAGAGGGAAAATAAAATCCCAGCTTTAGTCAAGGGGCAGAACTGAGTGCTGCTCAGATACTACTGAGTTGAGCAGAGCTGGATGAACGGACCAGTAGCCAACCCAGCTTCCTTTTTGAAATTGTTTTAGACATCTCCCTCACCTCACATGAAGTCTGCTGAAGTACTTTTGCCCTTTAGATTTAGCAGGTCTTTCGATGGTATGCACTGTAGGCCCAAATAGACTCAGTGTCAACAGAAAGGTATTTTTATTTTTTATTAGATAGCACTTTAGGTGTAGCCTTTACAATGTAAAATGTATTTATTGTGCAGAGCAGTTATGTTAAAAACCTTTCTTTATTCCAACTTTGTAAACAAGGAAAGCCATCCTTTCCATTTGGGAATACTTTTAGAAAGTGTGCACGTGCTCATGTTTGGAGAGCTTTCTGAGTTATTTTTGATTCCAGTAGATCCATAGGCTAAGTCCTGGCAGGATGACATGAAAGTCAAGTAGCAGTACTGCTCTTGAGGACAAAGTGTGGAAAGGTGAGCAGAAGAGGAAGGGCAGGAGCAGAAGGAAAGTTGAGGAAGTAATGTGAATTTGTCAAACGTTTTGAATCACAACTTCAAGTTATGGAAGATGAAAATCTGCTGTAACACAAAATGTTTACTTTTATTAATATATTGCTTTATCTTTTCTTGCCTGTAAAATGTTTTTCTAATTTAAGATAGAGTCAGTCTTGCCATTCCCTAATCACTCTCACAAACTTCTAGGATGCATTTGTCTATATTGCTCATGGTTTCTTGTAGTAGGGATATTCGATCTTGAATTTTAAAAAAAAACTTATTTTTTTCTCCCTTTTCTTCATACCTCTCCTCTTACTTTTGCTCTTTCTATGTTGAAAAATTAGTGGCTTTAGCTTGTTTCTTCCTTCCCTCTCCCGGAAAGCGTTCCCCCTGCCCCAATCCTCTGGATCTTCCCTTTACTGCCTCAGATCCCGTTTATTCATCCCTGTTTTTTCACCTTTATCTGATACGGCTGTTTCTCCTTTCTGGTTAGTTACTTGCTGCTCCCCTCCCTGCTTCTGCCAAGTGGCTTCTCTGCTTTAAAGCTTCAAGCAGAATGCACTGTGCACACTTGGGTTGAGAAACAGAAGAAAAGCAGGTAGGGGGAGCAGTAAGTAGGAAGAGTCCTGGAGCACTGCTCCCGGACGCAGCAGTTCTTGCTGAGAGTTATGGTGCTAAAAGAGTGAAAACAAGTATGCTGGATTAATCAATTTGGGGTACACATGTAAAGGCAGGAATATGTATGATGTCAGAGGATGGAGGAATGAAAATTAATCTCGAAGGAAATGGTTTAAGTTTCTGAAAGTACCTTTGCCTCTCTTTCAAGAAAACTTGTGGTAGTGAATGGGTAGAGATCAGACTGTTAGAAAGCTGATTAAGTGAATAATAACCGAAGCCGTACATCCTTCTGGACTACCAAGTTGACAAAAAGCCAACTGTCCTCTGTTTCTAAATATAAATAACCAAAATACTCCCTTAATTTGAGAGAAGGCCCTGGATGGAATGGTCAGAGTTGAGGATTTCTTCTTTCTCCAGCAAAAATATGCTAAACAGGTGGTTAGTGTGGTGAATTCAGTGCTGAAGCCTAAGCTGCATGTGTGGCCTAATGCTATGGGTACAACATTTAAGAAAACCTCATCATTTTAGATTATTTTTAGGTAATCAGTGACAAACAGTTGACAGACAAGCAGCTTATCTTTATCTTGTGAAGCACGATATATATTTGACAAATGTAAAGTTTGCTTTTAGCATTTTAGGCAAGTTCCCTGGACTCTTGCCTTTCTCTTGGACTTCCACCAGTGCCTTTGGGTGCCATGCTCAGGTTCAGAGTTTTCAAAAGTATTACATGGAGGGGTGATTGCACCTCACTTTTTCATCATAGTCTTCCGATGCAACAGGGTGTTACATAATTGCTCTGGCTGTCTCCTTTTGGAGGAGTCCCAATTAAACTAGTAAGCACCCAAAGGTAGTTGTCTGTCACCAAGTTGTTAACCAAAGACAAGAGGCTTATCAAAACTGAATTTCTCCTACTATATTCAGTTGTTTGGGTCAACTGTGTTCCCTCTGGAGGAGGGCAGGGGCCTCATCCCAGGTACTGAGGAGTTTACCTAAATTGTCCGTTATGTAAAAATGCCAGGTCAACCTCTAAAGTTTACATTTGAGTTCTGGAGCCCTCCAAACCCTGATTGTTCAGATGGCTGAGCCCAGAAAAATCAGTCTGGATTTTACTGAGCTTTGGAAGTGCTCTGTTAGATGCACAGGGAGCTGCACTGTAAGAATTTATGAACTGCTTATGTCTGAAGACTGGAGGAAGGCAAATGTCCATCCAGTCTTCAAAAAGGGCAAGGAGGAGGACATGGGTAACTATAGACTGATCAGCCTCACCTCCATCTCTGGGAAGGTGATGGAACAACTTATCCTCAGTGCTGTCTCTAGGCATATCAAGGACAAGAGGGTCTTTAGGAGGAGTCAACATGGTTTTACCAAGGTGAAGTGATGTTTAACCAACCTGATAGCCTTTTATGAGGACATAACCAGGTGGATAGCTGATGGTAGAGCAGTGGATATGGTTTATCTTGATTTCAGCAAAGCATTTGACACCACCTCCCACAGCATCCTTGCTGCCAAATTGAGGAGGTGTAGTCTGGATGATCAGGTAGTGAAGTAGACTGTGAATTGGTTGAAAGGAAGAAGCCAGAGAGTGGTGGTCAGTGGGACAGAGTCTAATTGGAGGCCTGGGTCTAGTGGAGTCCCTCGGGGGTCAGTACTAGGACCAGTACTATTCCATATATTCATCAATGACCTGGATGAGGGAATAGAGTGCACTGTCAGCAAGTTTGGTGATGACACAAAATTGGGAGGAGTGGCTGACACGCCAGAAGGCTGTGCTGCCATCCAGCGAGACCTGGACAGGCTGGAGAAATGGGCAGGGAAAAACTTAATGAAATATAACAAGTGCAAGTGCAGAGTGTTGCATCTGGGCAGAAACAACCCCATGTACCAGCACAGGTTGGGGACAGAGCTGTTGGAGAGCAGCGCAGGGGAAATGGACCTGAAGGATGACCATGAGCCAGCAGTGGCCAAGAAGGCCAATGGCATCCTGGGGT